GCTGCCAGTTGGGTATTGACTTCACTACCTGGTCCCTCGTTCATAAAATGGTGATATTGAAACTGACAAAATCAACACCTAAAGAGTTTCCTGAAACCGTAGCGCAAGGTTTCGTATATGTAGTTGTAAGCCTGTGTATGGTGTGGATAGTCAGAATGATACTAATCTAAATCCCATTAAGTATGGCAAAGATCTATCTCGCTCTTTAGGGGACTAAGGAGAGAGCCCCAAAGGTAAAAACACTCTCTTGCACTTAGTATTGATAAAAGTGGAGCCACCTGTAGATCTTTTCTTTATACGTACTGAAATTAAAGTATGTTCTGCGGTTATTGCTTCTGCGGACCGAGGCAATCTCTTTAACCTCTATTAATAAAGAAGTACGATGTTCTGAATTTGTTGGTCCTGTTGGCTCAATATTGGTAAATTCAACAACCGTCTCCCCTCCTGTTAATCCCACCTCTGTTCTTTCCTGTTGAACAATTTCTCTAGTGGAGTATAACAGCTGTGCATAACGATTGTGTTGAGAGAGAAACTCACCAATCTTCCTAATGTAGTCCTCAAGTTTATTTTATTCTTCATTGTTTTGAAAAACACTTCTAATCAACGCAAGATGAAGATTTGTAGCTAAGCCTGGATATAGTGTGTAAACATCTGCAAATTTCTCTTGACCATTTTCCTGAGCTGTCATACCATCAAGTATTTGGAAAAAACGTCCGTTGATGGTCATTGAAAAAGTTCCACCCCTTGAATCACCAGTACTGATTGTTCGAGAATATTTGGACGTGATTAGATCCAATAAGATATCCTTCATGTACAGTTGAGGTTCTTTGAATATCTCACGGAGTAAAACTTTGCCCCTATCACAACAAAAAGATGGTAATTCAGTATAGATAAGGAGCGCATAGCAATAATGGCAACACTATTCAAGTCCACCTGGATTATAAACCGAGTTCCGCGGTGTCTGTGATTTCCGCTGTTGTTGTTGTTGTTGATCATAAACCGGATCATCATTCTTATTAAAACCTTTGGTGGCATGCCCAATGATGTGTGCAAAGTCGGGATCATTATCAAAAGCACCATCACGTCTAATTTCTTCTAACGCTCTTTCTGCTAAGTGTGCTTCATTACTTCGTCCACCTCTTATTCTATCTGCCATAGTTCCATTATCAGGTTCAGGTCCAGGTTTATGTAATGGCGGCTGTTGTGGTAAGTCTGTGATCTCTGCATGGATATTCTGTGACAGAACTTGGAGGTGTCTTGGTTCCGTATCCTATTCTCATAACAGGTCAGTTAATCTGTCTCAAAAAGTAATGGATCTTCTTGCTGTGTCAAACCTCAATTCGTTTGAACTTGCCGCTGTGGTTCTGGATTAACCGCTGATGTTTCTTCTTCAAGTTGAGGACGTAGTTAGAAGAACCCCATGAGAGTTCTCTGGGGTTTCTTTGGTTGCCACCAAGCCATCGTTATTTGCTTGCTTAACCTTTTGTTTCTGGCCATTGTTTGGTGATGTTTTAAACGTCGTGTATAAAGCGTTATTGGTTTTGTGTCATTTTGTGTTGATAAGAATCCACGATGTAAACAAAGCCTATAAAAATTGGAAACATCCATACATTTTTACAATTGCTGGGGCAACGAAGAACCAAAATTACATATATAAAGCAACACGGCCTGGTTTATTTTGAAGGAACCAAGGCTTCAAACAACTTCAAGGTCTGTATATAGAATGATAGAAATCAGTTCTAGTGGGTGGTTGTCTTAGAGTTTCTTAAGTTTGTTTCGTTGTTGAGATATAAGCACAAGTGC